ATCAACAGATTGTTGGAAGCAATTTGTTTCAAAAGAAACACCTTAGACATACAAATATATTATGTCTGATGAAAAAGGTATAGTCCTATATCAGAGACTAGAAAGCAACTGGTAATAATCTTAGTTAATCAGCTATTACGATATTCTAATATTGAGATATTACTTAATTGTTTAAATAGGTTAAAAGCAACAACTGATCTTCCTGTGTAAGTTTTAGCGCAATATTCATAATAAAACCAATTCCAAAAATTTTGAAAATTATTTGAAAGTATATTAAATAAAGTAGGAAGATAGCATCAACTGCAAGTATAGTCTTCATTAAAGGGGAATTTAAATAATGTTTCACAATATATTCTACTATATTTCTCTCGATTATTTCAAAATTCATACACTTCTCTATTTAGTCAGCGGTTCATTATGTATGAAATTATCTCTGTTTATTAATTCTCTTTTCTTAAACTCTTATATGCCTTGCTAAATCTGTTAGTAATCCATTATATATAAAATCAATAGTATCATGGCAGGAATTATCACTTGTTAATATTACTCTTTCTGTTGAATAAGTTAACTATAATTTGAAGTTAAGGAGATAATAGCTATGACTTAAATCTAATCAACTTGATACACTGTTTATTAAAGAGTTTATTTAGTTAACAAGAATAAAATTATAAGTTTTATGTTTGCAAAATGTTAATGTTGTTTATTATTATTATTAAATGTATATTGAATATAATATTCGTATCTTGTTTGAATTGATCCTTTTTCTAAGGTATTTTTATGCCCTTTATATAGGAAAATTACAATTAAAAAAATCTATGATAATTATAATACTACTGATAATAATAACAGAGCTAACAGATATGCTAATTATATTAAATATGATATAAATGATAATATAATAATGATAGATATAATAAAGATATAATAAATAATAATAATAATAGAAATGATATAATTTATAAATATGTTCTATTTGGCAGATATGTCATATTTGGCATATATGTCATATACAACAGGTCTGTCAGTTTCTACCAGTTTCAACATATACAATAAGATCCAGTAAATAAAAAAAAATAAAAATTAATTTATTTATATTTTTGATTTTAAATAAAAAATTTGCTTTAAATTTAAAATGATTTCCATTTTTTAGTTATTATAATTATTTACTAACTCATCTTATTAACTTTTTATTATATTGAATTTTTAATGATAAAATTTTTATATTTTTTTATAGTAGATTATAATATTTTTAAATTAATACTAATTACTAAAATTTTATAATAATTATTAAATAAGCTATTAATAATAAATACTTTATTCTTTTTTTAATAAGTTTTTTTATGAATTATTATTTTTCATTTTATTAAAAATTATGCTACATTATTTATAAAAACATATTATATAAATCAATAATAATCATATTAATTATTTAAAAATATTATTTTCAGAAATATTTAGCAATATATTTAATAATCAAATGGCTATAAATTAAGTTAATATTTAATTGTCATATAAATAGTTTATTAAAATTAAAATTTAAAAATAATAAAATTTGTTATATATATACCGTATCCTTCCAATTTTAAGCACCACCCAATTTTAAGCATCACCTCAAATTTCAGCACAAAAACTTGAAAAACAAAAATAAGTACCACTCAAATTTTAAAAAATTTTATTATATTTCATATTTTATTTCAAAATAAAATTTTATTTTACAATTTATCATCATCTTCTAATTCATTTAATTCATCAGCTGAATCACTATTTATATCTATAACTTCTCTTTCATTTTTATCAATTTCCTCTTCTTTTTCATCTTGTCCAAACAAATCATCTTCTGATCTATCTATTGCGTTACTAATACCGCATTTTTTAAATAACTTTACAATCATTTTTTTAGAATTTCTGCTTATGACTCAAGTATTTATTTGCAAATAATATTATATTCAGGCTTTCTTAAATTCCCACCTTTAGTATAAGAAAATTGACCTGAACTCATCCAAATTTTCCACTTTTCATGAAGTTTATCTTTAAATGGCTTATTAAAACGAACATCAAATGGCTGAATAATAGAAGTGAGACCACCAGGAATGATTGCCAAATCAGTATTTTCATCGAATGCAATTTTTTTATAGCATCCGTCTTATGACCTTCAAAACTATCCATAACAAGAAAAGATCTTTGTTTATTGATTCTATTTCCTCATGACCTTTTTTTCCAAACCTTATCAAACCAGGTTTTTATTCCAGATTCATCCATCAATCCTTTTGGATGCATCAATACAATAATTCCAGAAGGTAAATTCTTTGACATTTGCTTACCTTTAAAAATGACAATTGGTGATAATTTTGTACTATCTGCAAAAACTGTAAGAATACATGTAAACTGATTTTTTTCATTTCCAGTTGTTCGAATTTGCACAATTTTAGCACCATGATTTTCTATAGTTAAGTTTTTAACCATATCAAAATAAACAGGAGTTTCATCCATGTTTTCAATTTCACAAAGTTTATATTCAAATTATTTTTATTTTTTAATAATAAACTGCTAAAACTCCAAAAGTTTGTCATTAAAATAAGCAGGAAGTTTTTGGCCAATTTTTGTTTTACGTTGCAGAAAAAATCCATTCCTTTTAAGAAAACCATAAAACTAACATTCTGAAGTAAGAAAATTTTCACTATTTGGATAAACATGAGTAAACTCTTTTATTAAAATTTCTTTCATATAAATTTTAACCATTTTAGAAATCACTGCAATACCATCTTTTTGAAATTCTATAAGCCATATTTTTAAACTAGTTTCAGCTTTGGGATATTGTGCTTTTCTTCCTGTGTCAATACGTTGATTTTTTCCTTTTGCTGACTTGAGTTTATCTCCCTATTTTTTCTAATATGAAATCAATGAATGATCAATAGAAAAATGACATGCAGCTGTTCTTTGACCATGAATTTTTGTATATTGCAAAATCTCAAGCTTTTCACTAGCAAAATATGATAACCTTTGAATTTTTGGTATTGCATATGAAAAAAATGTACGTAAAATAGGGGTAAAATTGAATTTATATAAATTTATGTAGTACAAAATTTTTTCGAAGCACAAAAAAAAAAATTAAAAAAAACTTCTGAATTTAAGCACCATCCCAAACTTTAGTAAAAGTTTTCTCTCAAAAAAGTGGTGCTTAAAATCAGAAGGATACGGTAATTAGATTTTAATAGCAAATATCTTTTATATAGTTTATTTTATTAATATTTTATTTTTTCAGAAATAAATATTAAAAAAATAATTATATTTGAATGATAATTATAGAAATTTAAATTATTTTATAATATTTAGTTTTTTTAATTTAATTTTACAAATTTTTATTTTATTTTATTTTTAATTTAAAACAATTTTGATTTATTATTTTGAAAGATAAATTTTTAATAATCATTTAAAAAATTAAAATTAAAATAAAAATTTATTAAAATTTAAAAGCTATTTTTAAAATAAAACAAGCAAACAATTTTATTATTTATTTATTATTAAAGTTCAAAGATTTATACAAAACATTTTATTTTGTATTCTAATCATTTAAATATATAAATTAAAATTGAGTATTATTTTATATAATAATAAAGTTTATATTAATTTAATTTTTATATAAAGTTTTATAATAATGTATAAAAAAAAAAATAAAATAAAAGATAATTTTTATTCTAAGTCAATCCTTAAATAAGTTTATATACTATTGATAATAAATTAATTAGAAATATTCTTTTTCATGCATTTTTTTTTCATGAATTTTGTAATAAATGCAATATTTAAATTAAAGATAAGAAATTAATGTCTAAAGATACTTTATAAAAGAAAATAAAACATTGAAGAAATTAAATTACAAATTATTGTTAAAATTTTATTTGAGTTTAAATTTATAGTAAATGTGAATATAACATTTGCTAGGGAATCAGAAAACATTTTTTAACTAATAATCTCCCCGAAACTGCTTATCAATATTAATTAATTTTTTTTTAAACGAAAATTTTGTTGATTTAAATCTAATATAGATAATTATAAAAAAAAACTTACGATTAAAAAAAAATTATTTTTTTTTTTTAAAAAATTACATAAATATATCAGTATCTGATATGTCCGAATTTGCTGCGCCAAGTACAAACCGAAATTTGAACTCCTAAAATTTATACTGATGGTTATTTTTTTTTTTTAAAAAAGTAAAAAGTAAAGTAATAAAAAATTCAAAATAATATAAACAGTCTGATAAATAATTACGAATTAAAATTTTAAGAGTTTAAATCTCTAGTAATTTTAAATTATCAGAATTCTTTAATAAATTTATTTTATGATTTGCTAGGAATGTAGATGTAAGTTTAATGAAAATATGAGCAATACTTTTTTAGAATGAAAATTTTCAGATTAATTATAAATTCATTCCGATATTTAAGCAAAAATAGCGTTTTGTAATAAATCATTTGATAAATTAACAAAAATTCTACCGAAGGAAATAAAATGAATAACATTAACAATATAATATATATTATCAGAGGATTTTACGAATTATTTTAAAAACTTTGGATGAAACATAACCAGTATAATTGCTAAATTGACTATAATAACTGGATGACTGGTTCTAATTCTAGTTATTGACTAATGGATCAATTCAAATGCCGACGTTGCTGCCGATTTCAGATAATATATGTCCTAAAGGAAGATAAAAGGAAGTGACTTTTTGATTTCGATTTATTATCGATCTCGTTATAATTGTTGCGGATTGGTATGTATTACGAGTTTTAAAATTGTGCAACATTTTACCAAAATATAAAGATGATTCCAGTTACATTAATTTTCATAAATCTGCCAAATGGAGTCTGAAATTTTATTTAATGAAAAAAATGAAAAAGGAGAACTGTGTATAAATTGTAAAAATCCTTATTCTCATGCGGAAGAGAGCGAGTTCGTAAAAATCCGTTGGTGTAAGAAATGCTCAATAAAATACATACAAGAAAATGAATGTACTTGGAGTGGGGTTAAGGAAATTGATGATTTCATTAAGAAAGAACAGCAAATGGCGAGAAGTCCGTATGAATTTTTTGAGTGGATACCTTATGAAAATTTTAGGGATATACAGCAAATCGGGAGAGGTGGATTCGCCACAATTTATTCCGCAATTTGGAAAAATTCTTTAAAGGTTTACAATGAAGTCTATCGTATATGTGAACGGTATGAAGACATGGTTGCTTTAAAACGTTTGCATGGTACAAACGATTTGACCGAAGCATTCTTAAACGAGGTAAATTTAACGAAAATTTATCAAAGTACCACCACACGTATTAAATATTATTTTAATAGGTTAGAAATTATCCAATTTATGATTATAACAAGGGATTGCTTAGATGTTATGGGATTTCACAGGATCCACAAACAAAGGAATATATCATGGTTCTCGAATTGATGTGCGGAGGAAATCTGCATGAATGGTTAACAGAAAATTACAACAAGCATAAATGGGCGGATAAATTATATCTGCTTCATTACATAATCAAGGGTCTTTATACCATTCACGAGAAAGGATTAATTCATCGAGATTTCCATTCTGGTAACCTCTTGATGAGAGAATTTTCTTCCAGACATTCGTGTATCTCTGATTTGGGATTAAGTGGTCCGTTAAATGAACAGGGATTAGATAATGAAATTTATGGAGTTATGCCTTACTTACCTCCGGAGGTATTAAATAAAAAACCGTACACACAAGCTGCCGATATTTATGGTTTAGGAATGGCAATGTATTTGATTGCTACTAATTGTCAACCATTTCAAGGTGTAGCCCATGATCATCTCTTAACGATAGACATATGCAATGGTATTCGTCCTAAATTTAACAAAGAAATACCTAATTTTTATCTTGAGATGATGGAAAGTTGTTGGGATCAAATTCCTTCCAAGAGAAAAACTTCTAAAGAATTATATGAATTATCATCCGCTTGGTGGAAAGACAATAAAGGTGTTGTTGAAAGTTTGAAGGATGAAATTATAGACAAATTAAAAGGTTATGATGATGTTTTATCATCTGCTGAAAAACAAGTGAATCATCCTCAAGCTATATATACTAGCAGATTGATAATGACTTGGTAAATATTTAACTTTTCTTCGTAATATTTATTTAATTTGATTTATTCTTATTCTATCATTTTAATACAGCGATTCCTTGGATAATCTAAGAATATGATTGTGGATTCGCGATAAAATATTAAATATATATATTTTATTATATTTTACTGTACAATAAGTATTTCTTGAAAATATAATTTATCTATCACACAAATTCAATCTCTTTAAATGTGGAAATAAATAAAGTTTGTAATTCGCAATTATCAGCAAATGTGAATAAAATCATATAAAATGTTTTATGATTCTAACGGGAAAAAATTAAAAAAAACATTATGCTGCTTTGAATTGGTAAAAAAGTTCATCTAATAATTTTAAAGAAAATAAATCTGTATTTCATAAAGTGTCATATTACGGTATGTATTAAAGAATTCTTAATAATATAAAATATTCACTCCGTCCAAAAATTCTGAAATCCACTTGAAAATGTGAACTGATGTATCAAGACCATATTTGTAAATTCAGTGATTTGAAAATATTTTGGGTAGTCTATTAATTAAAAATTGAAATAAATGCATAATTCTACAAATGCTTATTTACTTATTTATTACATTTGCAATGATCAAAAAAAAAAAAAAAAAAAAAATTGCAACTACATTACAAGATATTTTACACATCTAAATTACAAAATTCCTAACTTTCAAAATAAATAAATATTTTTTTTTTTTTTACAATCAGGTTTTATTTCATACTATACAGGAGAATGCATGCCCAATTTGGTGTTAAATTCCAATTTGGATCTCTTTTGAAATCTGGTGTATTCTTTTCTATCATGTATTTTCACCAATTCTTGTATTGGTATGAAAACTATAGGTGATAAGAATCCGATGAGATAAACATAATATGGAATATTTTTAAGCGTTGAAAGTGGTCCTGGTGCTAATGATATGGTAGTGAAAATCGCTTGAAGCATCAAACTAATAATAATAAAAATAGGTTACAGATTTATCTTTTTTTTTTTTTTTTCTTAAGAATTTTAAAATTACGAGTTACCTTATTATCACAGAAAGTATCCAAATTTTATTCTTAAACGGAGGAAATTGTCGTAAAGATAACGTTCGATGAACAAATGTGGATGATAACATAACTGGAAAATGTTCAACAATTAAAAGTCATTCATATAAACAAACCATATATATCACGTATTACTTACTAATATACCACACGAATATGAATAATGTGCAGTTCTGCGAATACAACACAACCCACTGCTGCTCATTTTTCCATCTCAACCACCCGTCTCTTCCATAAGACCCAAATATTTTAGATTCACCCGGATCATTATGTAACGTATGATTTAAAAAGTATAAGCATCTATTATTGATAAAAAAAAAGAATTTGTATAGTTAAAAGTGATATAAAGATGTTGAAATACGAAAAAATAAATATTAATTTAACGTACATACCCGGAAAAAACCGTGACACACATTAATACAGGTAAAATGAACCTCAAGAACCAATATACCAAAAATCTATTCAAATCTTTGAGATGTTCTATGTTCTTGACTTTAAAAAAAAAAAAATAAATAAATTTGAGAAATTGAGTGGTCCGCACAACGAAAGAACAATTACAATGACCAACCTGTCATAGTTGTCATAGTATCCGCTTCATGTGGATTAAATAGAAAAGAAAACGCTAATATAGGAGAAATTATCCAAGTAATCCATAATATATGATATCCAGTAAGTGCAGGTGGAAGAAATAAAATGTACGAGAATAACAAGAGCAAGGATATTGATAAATAAGTTCCGAGCATAAATGCGATTCCCTAATGATGATGATGATGATGATTTATAGTATAATATTGACAAGTAAAATTTATAAAATACATTGTTAAACGTATATACCATTCTCAGGCAGTTGATTAATCTTCTGGCTTCTCTTATAACGTCAGTTAATGCATACAGGCTAGTATCATAGTGCATGAATAACCCACATGGTAAAGTGGTAAAGGCAGCGCCAAGGGCCATTGGAGATTGTCCTTTATCCATATTTCCATTATAATGACATAACCCGTTTCTTGTTTGTGCTCTAGTGTGAGTCGGCTCCATAGCGACACTCACGTCTGCCTATTAAAAAGAAGTTTGACTTTGTTAGGAATGAACGTTTAGTGAACAGAACTTCGAAATATTTCTGAAAAATGAAAAACACGCACAACTGCAAAGGCATGAGTATTTGAAGCATTTAATGCACTTCCAATGCAACAAACAACTTCTCCATAATTTTGAAATATTTTGATCATCTCACGTGTCGTCTCGGGAGCGCATTCTGCAAATAACGACACGTGTAATGGAATATCGTCCACCTCTTCGAGATGTTCTCTTATGTTATCTATTCCACGAGGAAGTCGTGCTTTAATATCATGAGATTCTAAATACCCGTCACCGAATGAATTTTCATCACCTGGCGATGATAAAAGTATACAGCTGTTCCAATCCGTTTCAAGTCCAAGTCGTTCACCATAAGCTAGGGGAAAAAAATTAAAAAAGGGGGGGGGGGGGGAGTCAAGAACGCGCTAGATCAAAAGAAATTATCTAAAATTATCCTGTTCGAACCTTTGCTTTCCCTCTCAGCTGTTGGTGAAAAGTAAACAAACCGGATGCCAGCAGAATTTAGATCCTCAATAAAATTGCACACATCCTAAGAATAAAAGTTTTTCAAATGCATAATTAATAATGGTTGTTTTACTAAAATAATTAAAATTTTACGAAATACGTAATTTTTTTTTTTTTTTTTAACAATACCAATTTAGGCTGGTGACAAAGTGTGGCCATCGCCAGAAAAATCTGCCCCTGAATAACTTCATGATAAAATGTCTCCTCGTCTTGTAACGTAAGTGTACTCTCATCAAACAAAAAATCATGCAGCTTAGCTTCCAACTGATCGGCCTTCAATCTTTTAAGCCTAACTTTCTGTGATAAAGAAAGGTCACGATCATCATTTTCTTCTTCCTCAACTATTTGATCGATTTCAGGAGGGCATGGTAAAACAATGTAGCTTCCAATTGAATCATTAGGGGAATCCATCAAAAATGGAATTCTTTTGAGATTTTCAACATTTATAGGTCGATACGCGTATGCGATACATTGCATATCATTTATTACGGAATTCTCATAAAAATCATAAATCTTATTCTCAATCTAGAAAATACGAATCAAATTTATGTTAGCAAAAGAAAATATCTAATAGGATAAAGTTTCATTACAAGGTGCTATATTTCACCTCTTCGCTCATGGCTTGTAATCTTTGACCATCCCAATAATCAGAACAGTTATCAAGTATAATTTCAGTGTTGCCATCAGAAAGCAATTGATATCCGCCTGAAAAACAAATAAAGTTAAGATATGAAAAATTATTTCGTGAAAATTTAAGAATAAATGTATACTTTGTCCTTCTTCTTCATAAATAGACGAAACCATACTGGGCACTTCCCACTGGTCATTTCTAATTCGTTCCTGTAATGAAGGATGACATGGGGCAATGGTAAAAATCTCTTTTTTCTTTGCAAATGCATTTAGCGCATCATCCGTAAAGCCAATTTCTCTACCTAGGCGACACAAACACGCTAAAGATGAAAATTTAACGTTTAGATGCTGAATAATGAATGACAGGAACTTCAATAAAAAACTTAGTTCGACTTACATTGTCGTGCTGGCTTTGTCTTTGCATTAATGCAAAAACTTGAATATTTACGATGCTGATGTTCGCGTTTTCGACCTCTTAAAACACCACAATTAGTGTTTAATAGAAGATTGAGTCCCAAAGGTTTTAACCGACTGAAATTATATTTAAAAGTTTTTTTTTAATTTTAAAAAAAAAAAAAAAAAAAAAAAAAAAAAAAAAATCTATTTTAAAATTTTCAAAGTAAAGATATACGATAAATGCTGATTCCAATCTTGATCTTCAAATTTAACACCAAATTCGGTGCTAGGATCTTCAGCGATATCAAGTAGGGTAGGATCTTCATTAGCTTTAGGGAAATATATTTGATCAACCGAGGCAAACGGCTATGGAATTCGGATGTTTAAGTGATGAGTAAATCAAAACTTGAGAAACTTTTTTATCTTAAAGCGAAATTAATATTTACAGATGAAATTGTCCCTTCTCGATCAATTGAACAAATAATTGTAGTGCTTCCAAGCGACTCGAACAAATTCGTTGATCTTGTTAGTGACGTTCCATCCCATTTCGTGAGTAAATATCTGAACTTATTCCATAACGCACCTAATAATTGATTAATTAGTTAAAAATATACAAGCGATCAGACAAAGTACAAGGATCAAAGCTATGAATACCGCTGTCAATGTGCACATTTTTTGTTGGTGGAGGGGCCTCAGCATCAAATTCATCCACTTCATCATCATCTTCATATCCGGTATCCGAAATTTGTAAAGTTTCAAATAATACAAGCAGCGTAGCGTTCGCAAAACTACGAACAATCAGCCAAAGCGTAGGAAAAGGCAATGGTATTATTGGGAGTATAGCATAAATAGGAAACACCACCAAAAGTTCAAAAGCTTGATCCAAATGTCCATTTTCTGAGATAGCCTCTTTTAAGATAAACCTTAAAAGGTTGATCCCAACAGCCAGTCCAAGCACAATGATAAGTATTCGATAAAAGAATTTTCGTAAAACATCTGCTTGTTTATAAATAATTGTAGCAGGTCTGTCTTGAACCAATGCAGCTTTCAAACTGTTTGCCCAAGGAGTTTCCAAGAGAACAAATTGATATCTTCCCCTATTTTGAACATGTTGTTCCCATACTTCTTTTGATGTCATATCATTGAAAAATGACGGTTTAAATACATGACTAGCTTCCAAGATATTATTAGACGACACATTCGAGGGGGGTCCCTTTTGTATTAACATCATCTTACATGGTGCCACGTCACCATATAACATTTCAACAACGTCACCTTCTACTAATAAAGTCGTAGGGAAACTACGAACAACTCCATCACGGACGACTTTTGCTACCGTGAGTGAAGGAACGAATGGAATTTTAATGTTCTATATAAATATAAATATGAATCAATAGATCGATAGATCAATAAAATCATTCATGCGAATGTGATGTACCTGCATAGTGTTCATGTCACTCTGCTTCAGTTGATCTACTATATGTTGGGCACGTTCATGAATCTCGTTTAACCCCAGTTGTTTCTCCTTAATATAGATAAATACATTAAATATACATATCAATAATATCAAAATTGCTTCAATCAAAGTTGTGGTGAAACGAATTTGATATATTTCGCTTTTTAACATTCCATAAATGCAAAAGGCAAACAAAAGGACCATTGATAAGATCGTGAGAAATAAATCGGGACCGATTTCTTTAATATCTAAGATTAAAATTCGAATAAATCTAGTTAAAGCAACTCATTCGCTTTTTGATAAATAAAAAGATTTATTTGTAAAAAAAAAAAATATTTACAAGTCGAAGTCAGATTATGTTTACGGTGTTCTGCAAGTATGTTATTGACAACTTCGACGAGTTTTCTAAAGGAAAGTAATTAGAATTAATATTTTACAAAAAAAGAAAAAAAAAAGGGATTAAAAATCAATACTTGCTCTGAGGCTTGTTTGCTATGCAAGCCACGTTCCTTTGAGCCAGAATTATTTTCATTCCCAACGACCAAATCATCCGGCAATTCCGGAACTTCTTCCTCGTAAGTATAACATCGCATATTGTTACCACCTTGATTTAACTCCAACTCAATCATATACTCTTCATCTCCTTGTATTTGTTTTAAAACTCTTAATGGTGCGGTATCACTTGAAGAATTATTATTCGAATGTGAAGATTTGAAGCTAATAGCTTTAGAAAGGTCACTTTTGATGGAATGAAGATCATAGTCCTGAGGAATTGATGCAGTATTGTGCATCACATTCAATCTTTGAGAATTTTCAGAATTTGCCTCCATGTATTTTTATTGTAAGGTTCTTTAATTTTTATTTTTTTTTTATAAAAAAAAAAAATTGTAGATAGTGGAAAAAAACGTTTATATATGTAATTCGTGATCTGCACAAAATAATACAAATAAATATGCGTAATGATCGACCGTACATTTAACAAATATAGTAAGAAATATTTTTTATTAAGGTTCGCCTACTAATTTATAAGTAATGTCCAAATTTTCGTCAATCCAACCAGCATACATTAGTTGTACCCAAAGCATTGATAGAGCAAGAAAGGACCACATTGATATTAAATTAGAAATTCTTATCTGACAAGCTATTCTAACTTTAGAAGACATATAATCGTATGTTGCCGGACAATAAAATGGAATATAACCGATCTCATACCATGTATAATGTGTGTATAAGACTGTAAAGTGTGACACGTGTTTGGATTAACCCCCTTTTTTTTTCTAAAAGAAAAAGAAAATAAAAAGAGAAAAAAAAAAGAGAAAAAATTTCATTGATAATTTACCTGCAATGATTATCCACAGTAAAACTAACCACCTATTATTTAAAATGAGATTAATAAAGGTACTTGATTTCAACTATTAACATGACAATGATAAATACATTAAAATTTTTTGTAATCCATATCTCGATATCGAAACATCAGAACAACATTTTGCTATGATAAGACCAATTAATAGGACTGAAAAAAAAATTCAAAGTCAGAAATAAAACCCATAAATCAATGGTTTATTTAAAATATCAATCTTACGTGGACCGAATAACGTCAGAATTAAATACCTGAATAATCAAAATGCTTTTAAATTAATTTTTGAGCGTCAATAATGAAAATCATTTAAATTGTATGAACTTACGTAAACTCGAGAGCAAAGTACAAAGACAACTCATCGTTAGTTTGTGTAAAGAATATGATCTTGGTAATCTCTAGTAAAATTTTAAGAAAACATATACTGTACATCGATAATCTACGAAATGGCATGAAAGGATAAAAACAAAAGAAAAGATTGACCGACCTAGTGCAGGACATACGAATAGTAAAATAATTAATGGAATTCCTAGTAATATTCCCAAAAGAATTCTGCAAATTGTTAAAAACATGAGAAATATTTTATTCTCGAAATATCTGATTTTTATTTCTTTATAGTTTTCGGTTGTTTTCGATTAAAGAAAGTGATACGCGATGATAGAACATAGTTCTTGTTACGTGAAGGCTTAGACATTTGCATGCCTAAGCCAAAATGCCTGCGTGCTGCGCCTCAATATGGCTTCAGGTATAAAAATGTAAATGGGTTGATTATTCTAATCTTTACCTAAGAACGAACGAGTTCACGGATCAACAGACATAAAACATTTGGATTTGCAGGAATGATTGCTTTCTCATATGAAGGTTGTGATATACATAATACCCCTGCATCTGAATTATCCATTTATCTTTTTGGAAATTTAAGGACGAAAAACTTTAATCTTTAAGAATGACAATAGTTAAGAAAGCAACTCTGTTGAGTTCGAAAATAAAAAGCGCAAGAATTCAATCAGATCGTTAATTAAATATTCTCTTTTCATTAAATTATTTTAAAATGTTGTGTGCCATATATACACTTTGCGAATCTTTGATAGAATCTTATTATACTAGGGCACGGTTTCGGAAACCATTGTTAATTCCGGAGCACAAGTGTAACGAAAGGGACCAACCACATATCGACGTAGACTCCGGACTAATAAACGATTCTACAAAGCGTTTTGGTCGATTTAGATGAGTTGGACATCAAGACCTCTGGAGTATGAAAATCATGCTTAAAAAAGATTGAGTTAATTATTAAAGGTACAATTTTTTTAATTAATTTTGTGTATCAATAACGATTTTACTAAAAATTTAAGCAGTAAATAAGAGAAATTGGGAGCGCTAATATAGAAAAAGACGCCATCTCGACTTTCTTCATCACATATATAGAACGTAGGCTGGCTTCGTTACGTTCTTCAATAATCATTTGGCGATTTATTATTAAAAAGTTCACCATTTCTACCGCTTTTTTAATACCCTGGTTTACTTTTGTAATTATATTATAATTCATTATATTAAGGTTTGGACTTGATCATTCATTTGAGTATTACAATGATTATTAGAGCGTTCGAAAAGCAATTTGGTTTGCAGACGTCATACGCAATTTGGTGATATAATAATCACATGCGCATGCTATTATCTTTATATCTTGTGAATATCACACTTGTGGAATAACAAGATTATACTTGCTAATACAAAAAAAAAAAAAGCCTCGTTTATTTTTTTTTTTTTTCTTATTTTCCGCCTCTTTACTTTTTACAGATTTCAAAAGAATTAATAAATTCCTAAGTAAATTAATTTTTTTTGATTAAGGAATAATAAATAATTGAATGTATCTTTTTGCGCATCAAAGTTATTCTCGTATCATATAAGGTCATACTTATCAATCTAATCGGTTAGTGACATTAGTCAGGTGGGTTTGAGAAAATAATTTAATCGACAACAAACTTGCCAAATTTGAAATTTATAGAAATTTTAATATTAAATTATCTTCATGTGAGAACATGAGTATCAAATTTTTTTTTTTTTCAGCAAAAAAACTTTATCTTATAACAATTTCTTATGATAATGTTTTTCATATTTATTTTCTTCGTCTCTCTTATTTTGTGGAAATTATTATTTTATGATAAAGAGAATAAAATGTCGACTTTAGATAGAGTTGATAAACTTGCCAGATATACCCTTTTTTATTCTTTTGGAGTTTTCTGGAGTATTATCTGTGTAGGTATACCTATCATAATAGAAAAGTTTATTAAACGTAAAGAAGTTTTTTTCATAAAGGAAAGAAGTAATTGTAAGTTTTGTTCTTTTTCTTCATTATGATCATAAAAATCATGTAATCAATTTCACTTAATCGTTTTATTCTTAGATGAATCAAGGTTATACACGGAATGTTCTGATTTTGGACAACATAAAACATTAATGGTCGATGGGAAATCCTTTCATTACTTTGAGGCTGGAGATGTATCGAAACCTTTAATATTGTTTATGCATGGTTTCCCCGAGGTATTTACACAAAAAAAAAAATTAATAAATAAAATAATTATTTTATAAATATCTAACGATATTTTTACCTTCTATTTAATTAGTTTTGGTATTCGTGGCGATATCAACTCCGAGCACTTCGAGATATGGGGTATCATTTGGTGGCCTTGGATATGGTAAATATTTTATAATCAAAGCAATCCCGATGATGTTATAAGAGTACTTATGTTTTCATTTTTTAGAGAGGTGCCGGCGGAAGTTTTGCACCGAGTGAAGTTCATGATTATAACGCGAATTTATTGTTGACCGATATACGTGAAATCATACAAAAATTAACCAAAAATGGACGTGCTGAGTGCGTGGTCGGTCATGACTGGTAACTAAAATAAATAAATAAATAAATATAAACATTTTTTTTCTCTCAACTTACAAATCACTATATAATTATTACAGGGGTGCTGTGATCGCATGGCAGGCCGCAGCACAAAGTTGGGAATGGGATCAATATCAGGACCACTCTGGATACATCGACCGACTCATCATTTTAAATGGTCCACATACGGGAGTATTTGCCCATAATATTTATTCACGATTTACGGACGTCTTTCAATATCGCAATTTAAAATCTTTAATGAACAATCCTGTATCAACTATTACCAATTCATGGCAATTACTTCAACCTTGCATTGATCAAGCGCTTAAATCATTTTATGTATTTATATTCATGATGCCAAGTCCAATAGCGGAGACCTGGTTTTCATTAAAAGATTTTGAAATGCATGAAAGAATTTTAAAATCTATTCCAAATGAGGCAATTACTGAGGAGGAAATCAACATTTACAAGGCAGCCTTTTGCGCGAATAATAATGCTTGTCTTACAGGCGGATTGAATTATTATAGAAGCCAAGCTGCGAGAGGATTTTTCGAAGATCAAAAAAGACGCGGGATTAAGCAACCTGGTTTCATTGGGATCCCTACTTTGGTTATTTGGGTACGTCTGAGAAACGTCATTAAAAAAGTCTCCATTGAATTTTAAATTTTTTTTTTTTTTTTTTTTTTGATTTTTATAGGGAGATCAGGATGTAGCCCTAAATAAAGACTTATGTACACTTAATCTGGAAAAGCTGGTATCAAATCTAAAAATTGTACATCTTCCCGAGGCTCAGCATTTTGTTCATGAAGAATGTCCTGATAAAGTTAATGATATAATGAGAAAGTTTATAACTAGTCAAGGAAATCTTCATGATCTTGATGAAAATAAAGTCATAGATTAATATAATTAATATAATTAATATTTTGTTATTTAATTACGAAAATTATTCTCACATAAAAATCATTATATATGCACCATCATTCATAATTTTTCATCTCACAAACTTTATAAATAAATAAATAAATACAAAAACAAAAAGTCAAAAAATTTTTAATGTTTACCAAATCAAATCTTTATTAATAATGAATAAAATAGCAAAAAAACATACAAGATTTGTATAATATGAATATAAATTAACTGTGGTCCAAGATTATGGTATTGATTTGTTTATCGTCCTAAATACCTGTTAAAAATGATTGATGGAACCATATTGTATTTGATAGCCTCGGGCAAAATTTCTCTACGATTGAAGTTATGACATTGGCAACTTCATTATTAAGAAAATATAATTTGAAAGAAAGCCAGGACAAAAATCGCTCCTTTCACACAACGTTTGTATATGTGTGTAAAGTAGCGATTCTAATAAAATCGAATTAATCGAAAATCGATTTTAATCACAACAATCGTATAAAAAATCGAATCTATTTTGGACATACATATATAAAACTCAGCACATCGCGTATTAAAAAGTGTTTATCTACTGTATATGGAGTGGAAGTTGAATTAGATTTTAGTTACATTATTATCATTAAACTATTGGTTTTACCCGGGCGATACCCAGGGGGGTTAGCTAACATGACGTGAAATAATTTTTTAAAGTTTTAGCATATTAAAACAGTATGAGTAATACAATTTATTGATGTTTTTTTTTATAAATAATCCAACTCTAACTTTAAACTATCCCTAATCTTAACACTAACTCATCGTTTTATAAAAACATATCCGACTCTAACTCTAACCCTAATCCAATTCTAAAATTAACTCGTAATTGATGTAATTATATATTATTATTTAATTTCAATTTTTAATGATAAATTTAATTTATTAATTGATTTTTTTTTCATTTTTAAATAATTAAATTTTTTAATTTTATAATTTAATTATTAATTATTTGCAGATTTAAAAAATAAAAATAAAAATTAACAGAAAATCAAAAAAATATATTACAAATTATTTTATAAACGCGTGTTTTTTTAATTTTTTTTTTTGAATTATATTTTAAATCGAAATCGAAAATCGAATCTTAGAGCCGAATCTTGGAGAAACGATAATCGCGATTAAATCGATTCTAAAATCGATTCAATCGATCCCAATCCCTAGTGTAAAGTTTTTAAAAAGTTGGCTGGTACTGCGGGATGTAATCATAGAGTTTCATAAAACGTAGCTTAACGTCTTCATATTTTTGAATGGGATATTCTTCCGAGAGTTAGGAATTAATTTTATTCACCAAGTTTTCTTTAACAGCAAGATTCATTTCACGAGAGGGTCTGTGCATCCTAAAATTTTATGTAAGCAAATTTTTTATTTTTTAAAAAAAAAAAAAAATTTTAATTTAAAATAAAATTTATAAAGATAAGCGTACCTGCAATAATTAAATTAAATATAATGTCTTTTAATTCTTCATAAAAAATATTGAGAATATCTTTTGATTCTTCAAAGCTTCCGGATCGATTATTTGATGAGCGAATTTCGATAAATATTTACAAGCTACGACCTTTTTCACTAAAGATTTCCCGCAAAGGGTTTGAAAAAAATTTCCGTACAGGCTCTTTGGGGATTTCCGAACGTAACCTTTATAAAGCACCCCGAAAATAATTCATGCAAGTCAAAAATTGCCTTTGTTTCAATAATATTTAATAATTTTCTATTTTCCTCTTCAAATAAAGCAGATAATTTCGCGTGAAATTTTATGCGTAAAATACAAATATAATAAATAAAATAAAATAAGTATCTTAGCCGCAGTATTTAAGTTGAAAATAATTACAATCACCTGCCATTGGGGGATCTTTTGTAATTTTGAATCGTTACTGGTTTGGGATGAAGCGAATATAATTAAACAACCCTAACCCATTCCTGGGAAAGTGCACGTTCTAAAATTCTTTCAAAAGTATGAATATTATAAGTCTTCAAAGAATTCTACTTACAAAGTGACTCATATAAATTTCGTAAATCCTTTTGATTTGATTTCAAGGAAATTTTTCCAATGAGTGGTGGTTCATGAACTGATCTTGCGCTTGAACCTTTACTTTTATCCGGATATTTTATCACTAGGTAAAAGAAGGCCCGAAAACGCCCAAGAGGATTGACCTGGCTTTTCAAAGATTCGTTTTTTGATAAATTAAAATTGTTGTGATTCATTTTTTTAAACCATTCGGAAAATATATTTTATTTTAACTCGTAAAATAGTATTTAGACTAAATTGACAGATCAATTAAAATACGCCGAATCATTTTATTTCACTAAATATTAAAAAATGATTAGTCACAATATTTTTTATTTTATATAAATAATTCTGCATTTCATACATTTTTAAACATTAATAATCTACGAGAATTAATCCAAAACCGAACGTGATATACTTTTACCTAAGGATGGATCGGTCCTGGTTAAAGGATCGGTCCTCGGTCCATATACCGTTCCGATTAGAACATATTTGACCACCTAGGGAATACCTCTCAACCGTAGAATCAGAGAACCTAGAATCTCAGAACCACTGTCAAATTTGGATAGAGGGATCACTTTCAGCTACGGGTAATTACGTCATTTTTTCCTGTGCTTACCAACACTAATCAGAATCACTATTACTGTGCAGATTGTGTTAGTTGTGTTAGTAAAATTGGGAAAAGTATTCACCACATTTCACATGTTTAATATAAATTTAATAATAATTGCATACGAAACAATTACTGCGCCATCTTAATCTCGCTCTCCGACATTTTTATGTTATAAATGCTATAAAGTTATGTTAATGAACGATCTTAATTTATAAATTAAAACTGAGTTGCGCGCTTGAAGACTCGCTCATTTTATCAATTTGATGATTTTTCTCTTTATCGTCTTCATAATTTCTTCCTTTTATGTGTTTTTATTATCCCTTTGATTGTTTGTAACGAACCAATAAAAATCATTCTTTATTATAACAATGAATGCAAATTAATACTTAATTCATCATTTTTTTTTATTTTATAAATAAAAACCCTTTTGACCAATTTTTTATTCATGAATCACACTTTTTATAAACAAAGAAAAGCTTGGCAAGGGAAGGGAATTCCTATTTAGTAATTTTACACCCAATCTAAATAAATCACACAACCCAATTATCCCTTAATTGGTACAATTCTTATCACATTTCCCAGATATATAAAGATTTCGAGAATAATTCTCTCAGTAAATACTTTCATAAAAAAAAAAATAAATAAAAATAAAAGATGGAAGTTGTTGAAATTATAACAGTAGTCTTCGTAGGCCTCTTGGGAATTTTAATCTACCTTTTGATAAAATATCCGGATAGAAGTATTGGTACAAAACCAAGGACAGATCTTAATGGTCCTAAAGGTTATCCACTCATTGGAAATTTATTAGATATTCATAAAGATAATAAAGGTCTCTTGATGTTCATGTGCGAAACTTTAGCAAAATACGGTCCAAATGCGTAAGTATAATTTGCACGAAAAAAAAAAAAAAAAAAAAAAAAAAAAAGATACAATTGATTAATCAATAACTTTTTTAACCTTAGAACGTTTACCTTACCAGGCATGGGTAGGGTTATCACAATTAATAATCCCGAAGGCATCGAACACGTTTTGAAAAGTAAGTTTGCGGATTTATTATTTGTCGCTACATTGGATCAATCATATTAACTTACTTTATACAATAATGTACAGCGAATTTCGAGAACTATCATAAATCACCACTCCTTTATGATATTGTTTATAAAGTTTTTGGAGATGGAATTTTCAATACTAATGGGTAAAGTTGACCTTTTTTTTTATTGCCCCCAATTTCTTTAAAACATTTGTTGGTCCTAAATTTGGTTTATTCGATAGAAATGCATGGAGAATGCAAAGAAAATTATCGAGTCATTTATTCAACACCAGAAATTTTCGTGAGATATTTTGCGTCGTATTTAAAAAAGATACCGAAATCGTATTAAATACCTTGGATAAATTAGCAAGGACTGGTGAAACGTTTGATTTACAAGATTTATTTTTTAGGTTTACAATGGATTCTTTCGTAAAGTAAGTTTTGTGTGGTGTTTTTTTTGTTTTTTAAAAAAAAAATCAAGTTTAATTATGAATTTTAAAATTACAGAATTACATTTGGTATTGACCTTAAATGCCTGGAAAATCCAAAAGAACCGGTAAAATTTGCATCAGCATTCGATTTTGCGCAAAGAGTAATAAGCAATCGAATCGAAAATCCTTTTTGGAAATTTACGGAATTATTTACAGAAGAAGGTCGTACAATGCGTGAATCGTGCGATTATTTGTCAACCTTTGCTTATGATATAATTAAGAACCATAGGAATAATCCGGAAGCATTAAAAAACCCTAGGGATATCCTTAATATATTTATGAACGCTCAACATGATAACGGAGAAAAATTGTCCGATAAGGAATTAAGAGATGTTGTAATAAATTTTATCATTGCCGGTACGTCCTACATAATAAAAATATACATATATTTATTTATCTACGTTACTGAACTTGACCTTGCATAATTTAGGACGTGACACAACAGCACAAGTAATAATGTTTTGGCGTTCAATACTTCTCATTGGTTTATTGCAAGTATAATTCTAATTAATTTTTGTCGTGGTAGACGCTCTCGTGGATGATGTATAATCTTATGGCCGAACCTTCCGTTGAAGAAAAATTAGTTAAAGAAGTTAATTCTTTGCTCACGCCAGAAAATCCAATTTCAAATTATGAAAATATAAAACTTTTTCAATATACGCAGGCAGCATTTTACGAAACGCTTCGATTACATCCTATAGTACCGAAAACTCTTAGGGTGATTATCGAGAAAATTTATGCAAGTTAATTTAGCAGGATAAAATTTTAATATTTTTTGCATTTTTTATTTGTTATAGATATGTCTTAAAGATGATGTTCTTCCCAATGGCATACCGATTTATGCTGGTGATATGGTTAATTGGTCATCCTGGTCAATGGGAAGAGATGAAAGGATATGGGGAAATGATGCAAAGCAATTTAATCCCGAAAGATTTTTTAATTCTGAAGATGGATTGAAGCCAAGTCAATATAAATTCGTTAGTTTTAATGCTGGTCCAAGATTATGGTATGTAGAATAAACCGATTCAGAAGTTTTTTTTTTAATATATTAAATTAACTTTTTGTTTATGTTGATATTGACAGTCTTGGGCAACATTTTGCCACAGTTGAAGCCATAATGTTAGCGACGGCTGTATTAAGAAAATTTAAATTTGAAATGGTACCGGGACAAAAATGTCCTCCTGATTATGCTCGTTCTATAACATTACCAATGAAAGATCCTTTACTAGTTAAAGTTCGTTATAGAGGATGATGAGTTATTATTAATGTGAATCAATTTTTTTTTTTTTGTTTCCTTTTGTATACAAGTATTTATAATTAAAGTAGTTTCTGCGCAGCAATTTTTTTCTTTAACGATAAACTCTTAGTTACACAAGGCTTTAATTGATTTCAATTGGAGTGTTGGTGGTAATAATAAATCGATACATCTTCATGTAACAAAAAAAAAAATTTCTTCCTAAAAATTTGTCTTGTCAATATCTCTTGATTAGATTTTTTTAATTTTATATTTTCATTATTTTTTTTTTATAATCTATACTGTTTGTTATTTTACATATACCTTTCGTTTACATATTCTTTGTGCTACTTTGAAGAGCCGTATTAGGTTAAGGTTTCAGACCGAAATTAATAATCAACCACTGAAACTGCGAAAGCCGTAAAAGCTACCGAAAATGGCTTGCCGCTTTTCATTTAAGTACTCTGAAATCTCTCAAGTAAGGTTGCTAGTCGAAAACCTACAGGTTTTGCGAAACTATGAAGGTTTGATGTTGGTTGTTTGAACTTTGAAAACTTGTCGGATTTTTTTTTTTTTTTTTGTGCAATAACATTCGTTATTAGCATCTAATTCGACATTCAAAGCAATAACGATAAATTTCATGATTCAAAAAACCTTTTTACTGTCAAAACTCAATATAACGATGTGTCCGAATTAATATAAAAAAATTTGAAAAATTATCGTTATATCTAAATTTATATGGCATCGTTTTTAATATATATTCGGTACTCGCGATTTTCTCATACAAAGGTTGTACAAATTGATTTAAGATGAAAAATTCAATTACTTCAATTTCCCTAAAAGTACGCGTACGCATGCATGCATAAATCAAAAATTTCTTATATCTGATATTCTTCGTGATTTGTATAAAATTTTTGATCAATGTCTTATGGAATACAGAATGTTTAATAGTCACATCATTTGAACGTCAAAAATGTACGTTATTATGTAAATTTGATTTTACCCGGCACTGGACCTACGATTATTATATTGATAATTAATAGTCATTGGCCACTGAGTAACGGAACCATTTTGTCATTTATATCATATACTTTAGGTGATTTCATTCGTGGTTGTAAATTAGCAAAACCCAGTTAATTTGTCGAAAGCGACAATTTTTTATAGTAGAAAATGAGGTTTAAAGTTATGCTTGACAAGTTAACCCTAAGATAAAGGTTTTAGGTAAAATTAATTGGCCTAAAGGTAAAACCAATGCGTGCATTCATTAGCTATTTGCATTATATCAAATGCCATTCTTTTATTAATAGCAATTCCATAATAATAACAAATTCCAAGTCTATATATTTCCCATATATATTATTTTTCAGACAATTTTACATAAATTTCAAATGTTTTTCACATTTTTTTTATTCATTTTCCCAGTTCATAACATCTACCCAATTATATCATTATTAGCTGCTACTTGATACCAATAAAATGCCTTGCCTTGTTCTAGTTCCTATACCATTTTCATAATAAATACCAAGGTTAAGCTGCCCACAAATACTTTTATTTTTTGTATCCAATTAAATGTTGAAATATTATTTATTTCAATTTAAAATCTTTCTTTATAACATATTGAAAGGTATACTTTGCAATGTGATAAATATTTTTGAAGTTTTTAAAACAACTCAAATGATTCATCGTCATTTTCCTCAAAAATGATATTATTAAAATAAAAAAATCCCAAGAGAAAATATATTTTGAATCCATTAAGCCATTCAAAAATCTCAATTGGAGATCGACTTGAATTGTTTAAGTATTTCGTTTCGTTGAAATTATATCCGAATTTGAGTTAAAAGTAATCAATTAGAATTTCTACAATAACATTTATATCTACAATTTCTGCAAATGTTTTTTCTGCTTGATATAATATATGTGAGCCGCATTCGTTATTATCTATCAATTCTAAGGTAATCTCGTCTCGTATAAGTTAGATCCGAATTATTGCTAAGCATATATGATGAACCAGAAGTCATATCATTTTGCAATAATTCCACTTTAAATTTTCAAGTCAAGTTATATTAGGATGAATTACATCATTATTTTTCCAGAAATTATTACTTTGAGCGTTTTAACAAGTTGTTGCATAGTAAAACGTTTCTTTGAATTATCCTCCCAACATGCCAATTAAAATTAAAAAAAAATTAAAGGGTGAATTTTTTTATTATTTCAAGAATGAATGATAAGTTCATATAATTACTATATACAAATAAGAATATTCCTGACAATTTTTTCTCTTCATCCTTTTTTAATATTCATAACTGAATTACATCATATTCTTATTTTTAGAATAAAAAGGCCTATACCCACTTGAATTTTGCCAAAGAAGGACCCAAACACTGTAAACATTAGATTTTGGATATAATATATATGCTGATATTGATTTTTATTCAAATACTTTGGATCAACATAAGGCACTATGCCAAACACATCCATGAATACATGCTACAGATTTTACGAATCGTAAGGCTAAACGACATTTATCGCTCCATTCTATTATTTCTTTTTTTAAATAGGATTGTAATGATCCACCATTACTTATTTATTTGGTCGACTGATCCGTTTTTAATTTTGATAATCCATTAAAATTTTATAATATTGTCATGGTAATCAACTTCTTAAAGTATTAATAAAGTAAAAAAAAATTGTTTATGTATTGTAAATAGAATACCTCATTTAGGTTATATGAATATTTTAGAACCATAACGGTATCGGAATCCTTCAAGTTACACGAGCAACATTCTGTAAGAACAATTACTAATTTCTTCCCTATTATTGAACTTTGCATAATCATAACGATAATATTGATTTAATCTTCTATATTGCTTTTTAACAATTAACATAAGCGGTTAAATCAAACTTTGTTGTCATATTTTAACAAAAAGTTTTTATTTCTAGTTACTAATGATATGGTTAAGAAAAAAATTCCATGATAATAAAAGGTTGTATAAAAATATTTATTGATCACCCATTTTGGACCTGATGATTGGTACACTAAAAACTAAATAATTGATGTGTTACGACATTTGATATAAACGTTCCGTTCATCCGAAGTTTCTTCTAAATATATGATTCGACGCCACAAATCTTGTAAAGTTAAATTCTTTCAAATTATTTATTTTGTTCTCAAAATTTTTAAATTAATCCTTTAGAACTTTATTAAATAACCTTGTCAATTAAATAATTCGCCAGGCAACGCATGCGAATTCTGCAAATACACATATCACTTTGAAGCATTATTTAAAAAAGTTCTTTCTTTTCAAAATGCTTTTAAAAATCATGAATATCTTTCAAATTGATGAATATTAAATAAACGGATATCTAAAAAGAAACGTTAATTGATAATAATTCTTTTACGTTCCTTGTATTTGTGTAATAGACCGGTAATTAAAGTAAATTTTATTTATTAATAGAAATCGACTATTCCCATTGATTAGGTAATTCTTAAAGGTGTTTTTCTTTTGATCTCTCATTTTTGTTATTAGTGATCATTTTTATAATTAATTCTATTTATTATTCATTTATTTTCTTTTCCCTTACCATAGGTTCGTCTTTAATCTCTTTGGATTGGAAGAATCATATAGGTCAATTTACAATACCAATTCAGTGAAGAGGTTAAATTTTAATGATTTATAAAAAAAAGAAAATTGATTTTTAATTTTATATATTTAATAATCTGATAAATGATTGGCCGTTATCAAAAAAAGTTAACCTAACTATTTTACCTTATTCATAGTTTAAATTTAATCAATGAATATAAAAATAACATAATTAAAATGATGTATGATTGGATTCGCAAGCTAAACATTAAATCGAAATTAAATGTGTAAGTATTTAAAATAGTCATGAACTTTTTTCTTTGCATTTATTATTAAGGCAATTTCTATTTGTATACGGGTGTATTGTACACGGTCATGTGATATGGCCGGCATTAACATTACTTTTAACAATATGAAGAAATTAAGAAATTACCTGCATGACGTCAATGTGACGGTTAATGTATGATGAATAAGAATTTTTCACCGAAAAATTTCCAAGTTCCTGAAATAAATAGTAAAAACTAAAGACGGAGGGGTTTGACGCCGGTGACAAGTATATGTCACATGATACGGGTACAATAAACCCCGTGTAAACTTAGAAATTTTCTATTATTAAATATATTATTTTTTTTATTTTGATCTTGAAAATATAAAAATTAACTCTTCGTCATTAAAAATTATTTTTCATTATTTTTAAAAAATTCAATAAAAATTTTTAACTAACCTTATATTTTATTTACAAAAAGAAATTTAAAAAATTAGGAAAATTTAAAAATAAAAAAAGACTTGAAATATACGACAAATAATATGTGACAAGTAAGGTTTTGCACACCAAAAAAATTGTAGAATACTTGGTAAAAAATGAAAAGTGGAGGGTGATTCGAGTGACAAATTTTACGAAGTCACGTGAGGTGAAAATTTGGATAATGATTAAATTATATTTTTATTATGATAGAGATCAAAGAAACAAGATTTTCGCTCCTAAATTATATCGCTAATCTGTCTGGCTAGAATAGTTCGTGAGGATAACATATCGTTATGGTAACAATGTCGTTAGGAAAATATGCTGAGATTTGAGATTCTTAAAAGAAGAGTGAGTGGCATGTATAATTAATCCAGTTCTCTTTCCTTCATATCCTTTCTCTTTTCTCTTGCGATATAATCGTCTTCGTTATTTAACTTCATAACTTTTCTATTAGAACGTTTAACTTCGTAATCTCGTTATTTTGTTTATTATTTTTATTCCGATTATATTTTGAGTAGTTTTAATTCATTAGCATTTATTGAGTTTAATTAAATTTGGAATTGCGAAAGTGTAGAGCGCCGACGGTGAGGCAACACTGATTAATTTACGCTTATTAAATCAATTCGGCGTCATAATTACTTCAATATTCTCTAAATTAAAAATCTTCTGCCTACAAATTGTTATTAAAATAT